GTACAGATGTCTATATTTTCTAATTGTTTGGCAAGAATTTCAATGTTTATTTGCAAGTTACCTTATCTTGTGCTACTACAGTGTTTCCCAAACTTGACAATTTTAAGGCATGAGGACTTCAACTCCCAGAATTCCACAGCCAGCGTTGCTGGCTGTGGAATTCTGGGAGTTGAAGTCCTCATGCCTTAAAATTGTCAAGTTTGGGAAACACTGTACTAGATAAAGATAGCTTATTGCTTTCTTCCTTCACTAATCTAGATTACCCTTTCTGAAAACACCACATGCTGTGTTATAGCAAGGATGGCCTGCAGACCTGTCCCACCACAGAGTTTTCAGAAGCATTACAAACAGAAGCCAGCAAACTGTCCAAGGAATTAAAGAAACAGTATGATTATTTAAATATAGTATTCAAACATCAGAAGAAGATAGGTGTCAAAGAAGTATCAAGAGTAAATTCAGAACAAAATATGCATGATTGTTATTGTATTTCTCTTTTGTAACCCAGAATAATATTATTTAAAAAATTAAAGATGAGATCTATGTGTGCATGTATGCTGTCTGAAGCAGCTTTCCAAAATCTTCGCTATCTTAATTCATTCAGATTCAACCTCAAAACACATCTTTGCCATGAAGCCTTTGGCACAATTCTCTATTTTCCATACCTTACCTATAACCTTTCACAAACTAGACTTGCTGATTGGGCTGGTGAAAGAGAGAATCTGACAACTGAAGGATATAGTAGAAGGCAGCCTTGTTGAAACTTGATCTAGAATCCAACCCCATGCATGAGCAACTGAAACAACCAAAGTCTGCAGATTTGGCCAGAACAGAAAGATTGTTCAATCAGTTTTCTTATATAATTATTTTTGTTTCTGCTTTCCTCTTGTTCCTTTATTGCTTCCCTTGGGAAGGGCCTCTTTTCTTACCAAGTTTAAAGTACTTTATATCCTGATATTAGTTTTTGTTTGCATCTAACCTTGACTTTCTCAGTTTATGTGCTTCTCCTTGTCCCTCTGCCAGCTGTTTATCAAAGTCATAATGGAAGCTCCCTGTATTGATTACCATGTGACACTAACAGCATTACAGTTCTGCTTTATCCCTAATGAACTGCAGAATGAAATCTATTGCTAGCTAATTAAAAAGACCCACTGAGAGGCCTGGAACCACCCAATGAACATTCCTCTGACTTTCCTGCCCAGCAACACAAAGTAGCCTTTGCATGGTTATGGTTCTGTGTCAAAGTTAAAGGACCTATCAGATGGAAACTTCTTCATATGACACATTATAATACTCTAGTGACAGAGAATAGATTCTGACTGGGCTGGTCCTGTCAAAGTAATGATAGCACAGTCTCACATGGTTAACTTAAAATAATTTGTACAAGTATTTCCTGAACAGGATCTTTAGGAGTGAGAATGTGATCACTTGTCCATTATATCAACAACCGATGGTGTTAAAATGTAACTATATTGAAGAAATTTTGTGATGAGGACTTAGAGACATTACTTATCAATTGCAAACTGTTCTATTGCCCCCCAGAGTTTTCCTCATTTATTCTGGCTGCTACGTATATTCTATCTTACCTTGCATAAACAATACATTACAAACTCTACCTGACCAGATTCTGTGAGCTGAAGAAAGATACCCACTCCTTTCTCACTAGATTTCAACAGTGCTAGCTTAAGCCAAGAGTTGCCAAAATACATTCAGCATGTCAACTATCTTACCAGAGGCAATGTTTTAGACCACTGCTACATATTAAAAGATGCTTATTGATCTTTACCACGAGCAGCTGTGGGACACTCTGATCAGTGTATGATTCACCTTGTACCTGCTTACAGACAAAGGCTTAAAACTATAAAACCAATGATTAAATCAGTGAAATCTTGGACTGAGGCAAAGTTAAAGCTACTGGTTTGCTTTGATTGCACAGATTGGAATGTTTTTTAAACTACCTCTGCAGACTTGGATGAACTCACAGGTATTATGACATCATATGTCAGTTTTTGTGAAGACCTATGTGTGCCAACCAGAAAACTCCAAATACACAGTAACAACAAATCTTGGTTCACAGCTAAACTCAAGCAGCCACGTTGTGTCAAAGAGGAAACCTACAGGAAAGGAGATAGAATCAGGCCAGGAATGTATTAACAAGAGAGATCAGAGGGCAAAAAGAAGCTACTCTGAGAAGCTGACAAATCATCTCTTAACAAATGAACTAGCAAATGGGAAAACCCTTAAAGATATCACTGGCTACAGCAAAACTTTTTCCCATGTTGAACGGAATCGACAACTGGCAGATGACCTGAATGTGTTTTACTGTAGGTTTGAGAGGAAACCACTGCCAACTATTGTCACCCTCTCCATCTCAGATACATCAACAACAACCAAGTCTCCTACATCGGACTCCATCTCTCTGGACCCCCCACCTCTGATGATCACAGAAAAAGATGTGCGCGGTCTATTTCACAGATAAAAACCTGGAAATGCACCAAGCCCAGAGAAGACAATGCTATATGGCTTTGCACACCAAAACAACCAGTCACAAAGGCAATTTCCCCCCCATGTTATCACTCTGTTAAACAACTAAGCCACACAACACTGTCTATACCCTGCAATGTCAAACCACCTAATAGGACTGTATTACTTATTAGCTTTCTCATCTGTCCTATTACCTATTTCCTTAGATCCTTATGAATATAACTTGTTATATCTCATGATTTATGTTGATGGCTTTTATTTAGTATCCTATTATGATTTATGTTGATTGCTTTAGTATACTAGGACTGTTACTGAATCTATGATTTATGATGATTGTATTTTATGATTATGATTATTACCTGTTGCTTGTATGTACACTGAGAGCTTATGCACTGAGACAAATTCTTTGTGTGTGTCCAGTCTGGCCAATAAAGAATTCTATTAGTTCCATGCCCCTCTTAGTTTGCTAAGGTTTCCCAAAAGGCAGCATGTAGGAGGGTCCATGCCGTAGTTTTGGCGTTGTTGATACTATAATCCTTCCTGAAGAAGCTGTTGCAGGATTCAACAGTCCTGGTTAATTTTTGTCCAGTCTCCAACTTCCCTTCCTAGTGAAAATTGTTGAGATAATCAGGATGCAGCTTTAGAGTCCTGGAGGAAACTGATTATTTTGATTTATTTCAGTCAGGTTTCAGACAAAGACAGAACACTTGGATGGTACTGGTCACATTTTTGGATAACGTTTGGCAAAGCAGGGATGGGGGTATAGGTATGTGTGTGCAACAGTTCTTCTTGATCTATCAGCAGGTTTTGATACCTTCTACAATGTTATCATTTTGGAGTTCATGTGAGCCTTAAATGTGAGGGGCATGGTGTTTCTCCTTTTTTCTCCAAATCTAATCAGAAGTTAGTGGGAAATTGAGTTAGAAGCTTAAAATAGAAGCCTTTGGTATATGGGAAGCCACAAAGCTCAATGCTCTTTCCCAAATATAAAACTGCTGGGCTGGGGTATGTCCAGTATGTTGATAACACCCAGTTGTGTATCTGAATCCTGACTTAACCAAGTGATGCTGCGAGATAGTCACCAAGCACCCTACATGCGATTGTGGAGATGTTGGAAGTTAAAGGACAGCTGGAACTTCAAGAATTGATCATAATTACCACTCGTTCAGCACTGTTCTAACTTTGAACCAAATGTGTGATTATTAACCAAGGACTACCTGTATTTGGCAGCCCACATCTGGAGATTATATGTTTTTAATCCTAAATAGGATTATACTTCTTGGAGCTGCTGCATTACTGGGAAGTCTTTGTGGACACATAATTCCTGCTGAGCAGGTGGCAACTGTAGCCAAGGCGGCCTTTGCACAGATTTATCTTGCAGACCAATTTTAACTTTTCTGAAACAGAGGATACTTTGGGCAGTCATGCTTTGGTCATCTCATATACAGATTATTCAATAACGTGTTGCATATGGGACTGTCATTGAAGACTATTTGGAAGCTACAGGCAGTCCAAAATGTAGCAACCCAGGCAGTTATGGACAAGCCTTGGTTTGTCACATAACCCGATTTGGGAACAGCACTATCAATAGGCTTCTGGGTGACACTGAGACTGGTTATTTGAGGTCTATCTATCAACCATGGCATATGCCTATCTTGTTTGATCCGAGAGTCAATAGATAAAATAGTATAATCTTATGGGGTCCAGGAACTATGCCCTCCATGTCACCATTCCCGCCCTTTGGAAGATCATTTCCTCTGAGGTCTGTATTTCCCTGTCCTGGCCTTATTTACGAAAAGCTCTTATGGCCTGATTTTTTTTTCCTCCCAGACCTTGGGCTAATTTTGAGTCCTTCTTGGAAATATTTTTTTTTCTTTTGTTGTAATTGTCTTTTGTTAATTTGTTGGTTTTAATCTCTTTTTAATTGTACACACTGCCTAAAGTGGTTTTGAATCCCCAATGGAGCTAACATATTTTATTCAAAATACAATAAAGTAAATAAAAAAAATTGAGAGAACCACTACGTTCAAGCAAAAGAACGAAAGCTAAGCCTGCAATGCAGTGTATGTGACAGTATGTGGTACTTACTTCAAGTAAATAAGCAGGACGTCTAGTTGCATGGGAGATATCTTGACAGTTTTATATCCATTTAAGCTATGTGCAAAGGATGTACATATGAATCAATTACACACCTTGTGGTCCAAAGTCAGGAACTGAAACAATAGGTCAAGGCCATGAGAAGCTAAATATTTGGAGAAGGACCATAAGAATCCAAGACTAGTGATAAGAGCAGCTGAGCAACAAGTTAGATAGGTTTGTGGAATGTTTTCTTTTGTAAGTTTTAAGGAAAGCAGGGTTAGAATATGTAAAAGCTGCTTAAATCATAGCTCAAGTATTGTAATGTAGGCTTGTGTATTGCTCAGATTTTTGAGTATGTGCATGTATATATGTGTGTATGTATGTGTATATACACACAGGCACACAAACACACACACAAGCCACTTTCAAATTCCCACTGATGTATTTTAATGCACATGACAAAATAAAATTTGACTTTCATAAAATACTTTGGGGATTTAGCAACATTATGAACAAATCTAGATATATTGTGCAAGACAGAGCAAGACATTCACCAACCAGATAATCCCTTGGCTTGCACCATATAATTGTATTTTCTTTTTGGTCACAAGTACATTATTGATAATATGGTAATCAGTTTAATTAATTTTCATTTGCCCACTATTGGGACTGATCACTTCTAAATAAAATAATTTGAGTTTTTAGTCATTTGGTACTGAGATTAGCTTTCTACAAAAAAAATGTAGTGATAGTTATTTTCTGGCATCCTATTCTAGATAAGAGGACGGTTAATAAATAAATATATTTAAAATGATCTCTTTTTCTTTTGCCTTCCTTACCAGTTAATATTAATTTCAACCAACTAACTCTTGCATCAGAAACTAATATTTGGAATATCAGATATCAATTTCCTGTCAAATAAAAGTACCTTTTATTATAATAGTTCTGTTAAAAGTTGCAGCTAAATTTGCTTAATCTGGTAAACGTATTCATGATCTTTGAGCATTCCCCATGGTCTTTTATGAGTGAAAGCACAGGAACTTGAAAAAACTCTGTCCACAAAGGAACAAGGATATTACATGTGTGGTTTAACACGCATATACAAAAGTATGCCTTGGTATGCATCTTCAGTAAAAAGCAATACATCAGTTTAAAATAAGAAATATTATTCTATTAACACGATATGGTACAATTTATTTTTATATCGGATTGAAAGTTCCTCAGTTCCAGTTGTGTTTGTCATCACTGTAAACTCATTTAAAATCCCCCCTTCATAAATAGGAAACAGAGACTCCAATATGGAGTATGTTAGCTGGATCTCTTTTCTGGTTCATGCAGGTTCTCATGTAAATAAATTATTATATATTTATAGTTTGTTTTTTTAAAAGCAGGGGTGTCAAACTGCCAGCCCGTGGGCCGGATGCATCACGTGGAAGCCGCGCCCACCCCATTGCCGGCAATAGCAAAACTGGCCCAATATATTGCGCGACCTCATGTGACGTCACAAGTTTGATATGCCTGTTTTAAAGTATAGCAACTTTAACAGATTTTTTTGTATTTCAATATAGCGAAGTGTTATACTGACCACGTCACCTAGCCGCGCCCACCTGGACATTAGAAATAACTGATGAAAAATTACTGTTTTACAATTATGCTGATGTCCAGTACATAAAACTGTATTCGGTATTAAGATGGAGGTGATCTTCATAAGATTCTTTATTAAGATGGAGGTGGTGTTAATAAATTAGATTTTCAGTACAATAAAAATATTTTCTTTCACTGTATTTTTTTAATAGGAGTTCTGTTTCTCAGCTTATGGTGTAAAAATGCACTTCAGGTCTGGGCAGATGGAGCTATTGTTCAAGAAGCAGGTATCTAATGTTCCAGGGGGCTTTTTCTAAAAACAAAGGGCATCCTCATGTCACTTAGGAAAAATTACTTTGCTTCTGAATTCCATAAATACAAATGAAATGATCTTACCTAGCAACCAGAAACTATATCTACAATTATCATAATCCACTAATACTAATATATAGTTAATGAACAAAATTAAGTCTGTAAAAGGAATACTATTGGACATAGCATATAACTCAACATTATCAGAAAATAGATTCCAATCTTCCATGAAATTTTATTTAGGAAGAGAAAAAACCTTATTTTCATCTTATTTCTGCTGAATCTTCCTTGTAGATTTCCAGTCACTTAGACAGGGTTAATTTTTGACAGAAAAAAAAAATATCATTGAGTTTCTTACATCATGAGGTTGACTGAAGAAAATGTGGAACCTGGATTAGTAATTTTGTTCTGTAACATTTCTTCACAGCTGCACGTTCAAACCTTTGTCAAAAAGGCACTAGCAGTTTTTAGTTCCTTGGTGGATTTGAATCTACTCTTACCTAGTTGTCAACATAACCAGATAGATTAACATGGTTGCTTTGGATAAGCTTCACCTAATAACTTGGAACAAAATTGTATTATTGTGGTTATTCTGTCTTGATAAAAAGTTTCACATTAAAAGCTGGTATCAAGATTTTTTCCTCTCTCCAAGATTTCTTGACAACTTTTGTATATGTCTACAAGGCAGTCCAAACGTGGCATGGAGCTCTATAAATAAAAAGGATATTTTATGTGAATTTGCAGCTGAAATCATGTAAAAAATTGATACAGAACAACTGTAAATTGTTGAATTTTACAGGACAACCACAACAACCAACTGAACACAATTATAAACTTTCCCAAATTGGGAATTCCTTAATAAATCAATCTTCCTTGATTAATTCCTTCCTAAAGTTCCAATTGCACAACTCAGTTTTAATTCTCTGTATGAAATTGATTTCCCAGTCTAGCCTACAGCTCCAGGATTCCATGGCAATGGCTCCTACTTCATGTTTAATTCCAATGTTTTTTACTGAACAGTGTATAAATTCATTGGATTTACTTCATATATATCTATCATTATAGTTTTTGTTCCCAACTGTAAATTTCTGATCCCAAGAGAAGTCTACCTGTAGTTAGAGTGGGAAGAAATATATAGAGGGAAAAATTAATTTTTTATGAAGTCATTAGATCCAACTACATTATTCTTATTCAGCCTATAATTCCATCTTTATTAATATAAGAAATATTATAAAATATTACTAAAGAATAGATAATATATATTTACTGTTATTGAGTTATGTAACAATAAAAAATAATGTATCAATTATTTTTAATCTACTCAATAAGTTTCTTCCCTGGGCTCTCTAGCTATTTTTGACTTCTGAAAGATCTTTTAACAGAATAAAGTCCATTTGGAAACTCTCTTTATGGAAAGCAATATCTAGAAGTTTCACAGAAAAACAGGTTAATTTAGTATAGTACGTGATTATAGAAGTGTTAATAGGCTCAGTGAGGTGGTAAATTGTATTCTTTAGGGTTGACATAACTGAGAAAAACAAGAACTTAAATGCATCAAAGGGTGACAAGGGTTACTACTCCACCTACCAGTGCAAAATTAACTATCTAAAAAGTTCAGCAGTCAGTCCATGCTCAGCTAAGCACATCACTGTTATATTTAAAGGCATAGTTATTGCAAGTCAGTAAGTTTCAAACAAGCACATATTCTTTAACATGGGATTGAGAAAAAGATCACGTAAAAATGCTGTCCTCTAACTTAAAGATATTTTTTAATATTTTTAAATTTTCTATGTATTTTCCAGAGAAGAAATACTGAAAACAAACAAATGGCTTCCAAGAGGCATTTCAGAAAAAAAAAACCCATATGATTTCAGCAAAAAAAAAAATGATATCAAGCAACAAAAATCAACATCCTCAGCAATATACTTTATACTCACCTGAAATAGTGGCACTACTTCAGAAACAGCATGAGGTTCAATTGGATCTTGGAGAAGGATGCACAAGTAGTAAATAACTTTTTGCTAAAAGTAATGTATAAATAGGATAGTAAAAAAACATCCCAGTTATAAAAGTCTGTTCTTAAAACATTGTGGCTTTGCATGATACTAGGTCTCTGTATATTGCATTCCCACTCAATTTCTGATTGTTGAAACAGTTCCAAAGGTATGGTAGCTTTTAAACAGGAAGCAACTTGCAATCAGTTATTTTTAAGAAGAAAGTAAACAAGTCTATTGCCTATACTGCATATCTGCCAATTATATCGAGAATTTAACTTGTTCTCAAGTCTGGGCTATTTCTGGGACCATCCCAATCCTGGAGCGGCCTTCAGAGTTCTATTTCAAAATTAATAAGCGATGAAATAGTATTTTATGATGTAGAACAAGTACTTGCACAGCTCTTTTTCCTCAGATTCTTCTCTCTAGGACAGGGGTAGGCAACCCAAAACACTCAAAGAGCCACTTGGACCAGTTTCCCACCAAAAACAAAACACTGGGAGCCGCAAAACCCTTTTGACATCTAAAATGAAGATAACACTGCATATATCCTTTTTTACCTTTAATATATATATATATATATATATATATATATATATATATATATATATATATATATATGGTAAAAAAGGATATATGCAGTGTTATCTTCATTTTAGATGTCAAAAGGGTCTCTCTCTGTCTCTCCCTCCCTCCCTCCTTCTCTCTCTTTCTGCCCTTGGTCTGCCAGTCCTCTTCCCCCACTTTCTTTCTTTCTCTCTCTCTCTCTCTCTCTCTCTCTCCCTCTCTCTCTTTTTCTCTTTCTTTCCTTTCTCTCTCTTTATCTCTTTCCATTCCCTCTTTCCTCTCTCTCTCTTTCCTCTCCCCCCTCTCTTTCTCTCTCTTTCTCTCTCCTCTCTCTTTCTCTTTCTTTCTCTCTTTCTCTCCCTCTCCCTCTCCTCCCCTCTCTCCCTCTTTCCAATCTTCTGCTCACCTGGCAAGCTGGCTTCAAGCTGTTCTCCAACAAGCTCAGGGGTAGGCAACCTCGGCTCTTTTGTGACTCATGGAATTCAACTCCCAGAATTCCTGAGTCAGCATAGCTGGGCTAGCTAGCTCTCTCCTGCCCTTCCTGTTTCCTGCTTCCTGCAGAGACGCAGCAAAGGGAGGAGCTCAGCCCAATAAGCTTTTCAGCTCCTCGGAGAACACTACCGTGAGTCCGCTCTCTTTTTTTTACAGAGAGAGAGAGAGAGAGAGAGAGAGAGAGAGAGCGCAAGTGCCTCTCTCTGTCTCTCTCTGTCTCTCTGCAAATGGCAGATGAGGCTGGGAGCCGCAGGGGAAGGCTCAAAGAGCCACATGCGGCTCCGGAGCTGCAGGTTGCTGACCTGTGCTCTAGGAACATGAAATGTTCAAGTATTTTTTTCTTTCTGAGAGAAATACAATTTCTTAGCAGTATAGGAAAAGAGTCTCCTTACCATATAAATGGCTTCATTGATGACCACATCTTTGACCTGGTTCATCTCTATAAAGGTTGTGCTCTCTTTCCCTGATGCATAGGATGAGGTCATCTGTATTCCAAGCGAGTCAATTATCAGCAGAGACTCCTGGTCAATTTTCACAAAATGCAGGTATACAAGTAGGCCAATCAATGTGATAAATATAGAAGCAGAGAGCACCATACTGTTCTGTAATGGAAAACAAGTTCTCAAATGGACAAAAGTCACTTTGTATTCTATATAATTATATACTATACTGTAATACTATAAAACACTTTCAAAGGAAGAGCTGCTCATTACCATTAAAATTTATATGAGCGGCTCATGCACTATATTAAAGAGTACAAAATGAAATTATGCAGACACAATCAATAGTTCCATATGCAAAGTTGTACATCTGTTGTATATTTGTGTTTCATAAAACAGATATTACTTGTTCTTATACTAGAGGTAAAAATGGAACATCAAATTGTAAAAATATAAATTTCTGGCAAAATAAGAACATCTTTATTTTTAAAACAAGAGTAGAGTTGAAGACATGACACTGATAATTACATATAATGGAGATAAAAGGTCACAAACATCTTTGAATTGTTTTTATTTACAATAGTTGTTTTTCCTGGTAGGTTCCTAATATATCCAAAATCATCTGCATCTTCATTTAGAAAGAGAACCATATTAATTTTACAAGACATGATGGATTTTACACTGAACTGCAGGTCTAGTTAAGTAACTGTAGATAAATCATAAGTTATTTGAATTAATGTTTAAAGACCCTCTTGGGAAAAAGATGGATCATGAACTATTTATCTCCTTGAAGATAAAGCCATTTGCACATAAAGAGATTGTACATTTGCACATAAAGAGATTGTTGATGTAGGTGAGATGGGCGTAAGGTGATGGGGCATCAGAAGAAATGTTTTGAAATGCAAGAAGATAAATGTAGAAAAGAGTTATGTTCTTTCCTCACTTTGGGGATGTTAAGTTCAACCTTTGCTCAACTCTCAGAGCCACTAGACTTCTCCCTATATCATGTGCAACCAGGATAGGAATGTTGATTGTGGATGGTGAAAGATGTATTCTAGTGATTCTGAAGAGCATAGGGAGAAAGCCCCAATTTTCTTGCTGCCAAAAAACAAATGGCCTTGAAAAATCAGGGGCCAAGGACCAAGGCGGATGGCGGTGGAGGAGGGACATGCCAGCAATGGCCTCATGTCCCATTGCTAAACTGGAGGGAAACTGGGTGGTGGTTGCTACCAGGGTGGACTAGAATGGGTTGAAGACAATGTCATGCATTAATATCCTGACAAAGGGTTAGGAAGGCCACCTGCATAAGGTGGCAGTGCCCTGGTGATAAATGCAGCACACCAGCTCGACCATAACACCTACTTAATTCATTAGTCAGTTTTTGTCTACCTTGAGAACTTTAACAAGTGTGGCTCAATGCAGGCTGCGGAATTCTGGGAGTTGAAGGCCACGGGTTTTAAAGAGAAACATTAAGAACCCAGCAGGTTCGAGCAATTTGAAAGGGTCCGGGATGGAGGGTTGGGGCGTAATGCTGCCTGCCCGCTGAATTCTTCGGAGGGGGGAGCTCCCTCGTAATGGCGGGACATTAACTGCCCCTCACTCCCCGAGCCTGAGCGAATTTCGGGCTTTAGGACGGTACCTGGCTGACGATGAAGAGCCCATAAGCCACGAGCCACACGCAGCACGTGACGGCAGTCAGAGAGCCCAGCTGCAGCCGCGGGCAGCGCACCTGAAGCTCCCGACAGGAGGCGCTGTGGTGGAGGGGCCGCAGCTTGATGCGAGCCCCAGAGATCGATAGGTATTCCTGCTCTTCCGCCATGTCCGAGCCGGTGAGCGATGCGCTGGCGGTTCGCAGATGGGCAGAGCGGCTCTTCTTTTTCTATGCCCTCTCTAGGCGGCTGTCGCTCGATGGTAGGAAGGCTCCGCCTCTCCCGGCTAGGAGCTGTCTATTGTGCTGGAAAGGTTGGCGAGCCGGTCCCTTGAATGCTTCGGCCGCCGGTTTATACAACCGGGACAGGAGCGTAGGAAGCGACAGCCCCCCCCCCCCTCTCCCCAAGTTCTGCGATGCATCAGATCCTCCTGGTCTTCTCTTCCTCGGGCACCGATGTGTTGCTCTTGGCTCAGTCCCGGGAAATCGAGATGATCGGACTTGGATGAATTTTCTTTTAAATCTCGATTGGTCCCGTGTCTTATGTATTGCATAGACTCACAAAACAGAACCTTGTAAAAATTATTCACGCACAATGACGTTGGAGAAATTGCTGTTTTTTTAATTTGGGGATAACAATGAGGGAAAATTACAAAAATGAAAAAACTCCTCTTGATCCCAAGAATAGTATTATTTATTTAAAAGAAGTGGGAGACCCAGCATCATGGCATTCCTGGAAAAAAAAATTGATAAAATTTTATATGTATAGTTTCATCTCACAGTATACTTTTTTTTTTAAAAAGGGATTTGCTTACAACTGATATTTTATTCACATGACAGGCTCCTTAATACTTTATATTCATAATTACAATGCTTACTGGATTAATTGTACAGTTGCAGTGTATTTTAATAAATGTGTCACATCACACATATTTATTTTATACCTGTTTTATTTTTCAAAAGCAGAATGGCACCAAATAATAACTTATAGCAAATCATAAATACATTCATAAACTCTGAAGCAGGTGCAAAAAGCAGGTGAAAACAATAAAACTCAGTACAATTTTAAAAGATTAATCTTTTTAACTGATGTGGGAACTAAATCATTTGGAACTATGCATTAGCAAATATGACTGCAAAACAGTCCTGTGTTTTTCCACGATCTGGACAGTAACTTTCCATGAAATGTAGAATCCCCTCAGAATTTGTTGTGGAAACTCCTCAGAACTTGTTCTGTTGTAACTCAGACAAGATAGCTTCATGCAGTAACAGCCTAATCCTATTTTTCCCATGCCAACTTTGATTCAACATGGCTTTGGGCTAGCTGGAAATTCTGAAAGTCTTCATTTTAGTAATGTTCTAATTGGAAGAGGTTTGTTTAACCTATAAGGATCTACAAAACAAGACTTCAACAAGCTCACATATTTTGACTAAATTCAGCATTCTGAACTCAGGGCTTAATTATATCTTATATAGATAATTAATTGCACCTCTGATTCACAGTACAATAGCCTCTTTTAAGTGAAGAACCTCAGGAGGACTAATCTCATGTTAAACAGTGTGGAAGGAAGAAAGTAAGCCCATTGTCTTATACACATGTTCCTAGTTGTGAGTAAGGTCCAATGAGCACAATAAGATTTATCTTTAAATAGAATTTTATAGCATGGTGTTCATTCTGCTAACAACTCTTTGAGAATTATTGGTATGCTGGAAGCTGGCAGTTCCAGGCTGCATCCCATGATTCAAAGAATCCTAAATTTTAGCATGTTAGAGCAGAGGTCTTCAAACTTGGCCCTTTTATGACTTGTGGACTTCAACTCTCAGAATTCCTCAGCCAGTGCGGCTGGCTGAGGAATTTGGGGAGTTGAAGTCCACAAGTCATAAAAGGGTCAAGTGTGAAGACCCCTGTGTTAGAGAATGGCAAGACCAGATTTTATTCAGCCTATGCCTACCAAAATGGAGCTCTTCACCAGCACCAGCATAATCTGATCTATATCAGTAACTTCATCCTTACTTTTCTTAGAAAAGCAACTGTGAAGCATCTTTCTGAAAAGTTGGCAATAGTTTTAGATTGCAAAACATTAAAACAGACAGGTCGACTCTGGTCAGCTATCAGTTATTTCCAGAAATGGCAGTAGACAAAGGAAATACATGTGAGGTGGAACCAGCTGACAGCTGACTATGAAAATGGTGTATGTCCAACAATCCACTCTTGGAGGTCTTGGACTGCAAATGTGGCAAAGGGAACTCATATGAAGGAATACTTGAGGAGGTTTTTGCACAAAGTCAGTCAACATGTTGGGCAAGGCCAAGACCTGAGAAAGAGGGATCATCCTTAAAATGAGCTTTTATTATTTCCTGTAGAAGCTGAAATAACCTCAGTCAGCGGGACATCCTTTCCCAACACTGCAATCTTATACCTCATAGATGGAAAGAAGAACTGGAACTGATGAAATGGTGTTTGCATGGTTCTCATCTGTACACACACTCATTTGTCTGAGCGGAGAATTCTGTATATATTGCCTTGAATAATTACAAACAACCAGCCTCGTATCCTTAAGTCTTCCTTAGAGAGCCACTAAAACAAATTGCTCTGAATTCAATTGGAATTGTTCCCTCGCCCCACCTAGTCCAGCAGGCGTGTACTGCGTTGAACTGCGAGCCCAACTCTCCTTTAAAAAAAAATAAAAAAGCAGATATTTAACCTGGCTTTTAGGAAGAGGAGTGAAAATCTGAACAGCCGGGCAAATTTTCAACCGAGAAACCGGTAATTTAAGCTATTCCTCACCTTAAAATGTTTACACACACACACAACCAGGTAGAAACGTCTTTTTTGGGGGGGGGGAAGGGAGCAAAATTAATTCCGGAACGACCTGCGAAAGCCAGAAGGGGTCAAGAAAGAATGCAGATCCGGTCACGTTCGTTCACGAAGTTGGGCCTCTTCCGAGGGGCTCGGAGGCACGTCCCAGGCCATCTCAACGCCGATTGGTGCGCAAATAGGCCGTCAGCCAAGGGGCGGGGCCACAGGCGCAGAGGCTCGACCAATCGGCCGATTATAAAGCTTCGGTTGCCGCTGGTGCAGACGCCGGCGTGGTAACAAAGCTGATTCTCGCGCTCAGCTCAGCTCAGCTCTGCTCTGCTCTAAGATATTTCGCCACGATGGCTCTTCGTAGCAGTTTCGCTCGGCTCCTCCAGCAAGCGGGCTCCTCTCTGCGGGTCTCTCGGAAGCGCTCCCATTCGGTGGCTATCATTGGGGCCCCCTTCTCCCTGGGCCAGGTAGGTGGCGTGACGGGAAGGGGATAGTCCGGACCACCGATTTGTCCGTCCGGGGGCGCGAGGGGGAAACGGCAGGAGCGGTCGAGGGAGGCGTCCTTTGGCCCTTTCCAGGGGGGGCTGCGGACCTCCGCCTTCCCCAGTGAGCCTAACAAAAAGAAGAGAACTTTATGCCGCCTGCTAGCCGGGAAAGGAGATGCTCCAAATGATCAATATCATTCGTGCCCGACCCGGTTGATCCGCGATGATTCGCCCTAAGCAGGAACAAGGCTGCTGCATGCGGTGGTCTTGCGAAGCCTGCAGCGATCAGGAGGGGAACCTTGCGGCGGTGGGTGTCGGAAGCCGGGAAGAAAAGGTGGGGTGGAGCCTTCTAGAGCAGGGGTAGTCAACCTTGGCTTTTTTATGGCTCGTGGACTTCTAGCTGGCTCAGGAATTCTGGGAATTGAAGTCCACGAGCCATAAAAGAGCCAAGGTTAACTACCCCTGTTCTATCGAATTTGGCTGGCTGGCTGGCTGGCGGGGAAGGGGGGCGTCGCCGGCGGCGTCAGAGGATTCTCCTGGGAAGTGGAAATTTCCAAGCGGCCGCTTTGTCCACGTGGGCTCATTGATATCATTTCCCTCGGGTGTCGCTTGGAATCACGGCGCGGATCCTGTTTTGTCTTGTAGAAAAGAAAAGGAGTGGATCACGGTCCTGCCGCGGTCCGGAATGCGGGGCTGGTCGGAAAGCTTTCCCTCATGGGTAAGTGGGAAGGGCGGGATGGGAGCCCTACCTTTCGGGAAGGGATCTGAGTTCTCTGTCTGGTTCTGCCTAACTTCTCCACCCAGTCGTCCATATGATATGATTCATTATGAGTCCACCGTCTGAAACATTGCTTAACCTGGGGCCTTCCAGATAGTTGGGTGTCCATTGTTCTAATGTTGCCCAACCAACACTCTGTTTAAGGAAAGGAGAAACGTGTGTTTTGAGTGATCATAGTATATCACACTCAAAATAGGCAGTCCACCCTCATGAATACCCTGGGTTATTGAAAATCATGGAAAGGATATCATTGTGGATGATAACTTATGAGGACCTAATCATTTTCAATGCATAGACAAGATCATCAAGCAAAAGTGACTAATTTTTCAATAAGCAATTGAAAAATTCGAAACAGACTTAAATAATTCCAAAAAGACACACTGTGTTATTCAGTCTTCTTGAAACCCCATCAAATTAAACCTTCCTAATCTCCCAGTTAAATATGAACTCTTCTTTTTGAAACCATCAGATTACCACAAAGATAACTAATGTAACTAACACAGTAAATGGTTTTTTATCCAAGTTATCTTGAATTAAAGCACAATCACACATTTACACTAGCTGATATGAACTCATTCATTCAGAGCTTAGCTTTTCAGCACTCAATAAAAATGATTAGTAGTTACAACATTCCAGAGATTCCTGAAGGAAAACTGAAATCCACAGTTCAATAGTACTTTGGTGTAAAAAGTGAATATCATTTTGTGAAGGTGACTGCAATACATATCCATTATTAACTAAGAAGTTCCATCAAACATTATAACTCCTAATTCCTTTTATTAGAGGGGGTTTTAAGTCCCAGAGGGTTAAAAAAAATGTTTAAAACTATTCAAAAGTAATGAAATAGGAAATCCTTCAAAAGTAGGAAAGATGAGTAAACTTTATCTGATGTTAAAATTGTAAAAATTGATTTCACTGTAAAGATTGACGAAACCTTGACGTTTGAAATTGAGTCATAACTATTGAGTAAAAAAAATAAGGAAGTAATCTAAGAAGTGTCTGTGTAGGAAAAACATAAGATAGTTGTATATGGATAGAAGAAATACATAATACGTAGTTAGAAAATGAAACAAAACTTTTTAGTAAGATAAGGACTACATTATCAGTCTTAATTCCACTCAACATATGCAGCATTCCCTGTTTATAGTGTCCTGATAATTCTGGACACATTTTGACTATAAGTTCATACACAAACCTTCATATCGAAGGAAAAATGATGAAAATGAATAATTAAGTACTCTAAAAATGTTGAAAAGTAGTAAGGCAAAAGATTTAAATGAAACAACTGAGAAAATTTAAAGAAGTGGTTTGCTTGTGGAGGTACTATGTGATTTGTCTATCTGAGAAAGCTACTGCTGTGGCTGATTATTGAAATAATGCTGTTATTGTTGCTCTGTATAAAGGGAAAGTTAACAAGAGTGGATGCAAAAACTACAGAAGAATGTCTTTGTTAAGAGTGCCTGGGAAGGTGTTTGAACTTTGAAAGTTTCTAAGAGGTGACAGTCTGAGAACTGCAATGTAATCCCAGCCTTTTGCTTTATAGCAATTCATTAAGAAATGGATGAATGTGAAAAATAAAATTTATTGTGCTTTGTAGATTTAGGAAAAACACAATAAAGCAAAGTTGAAATGTAGAGTTGAAACTGGCTACTGAATGCAGTATGTACATGTACACCTACTCATAGAAGTAAAATACATGAAAATGAAAGAAATGCTTAGTGAGTGAGTTGGCACTGGACAAGGAAAAAGGGTTTGGAATGACTTATGGATAGCTGTGTTTATGGATAAACAGAATGCTTGTGGTGATTGTATAGATGTGTTACTTGGGAATTTGAATGTAGAGTATGTGCAGATTATTTAGGCTGAGAATATCAAAATGATTTGCAGCAAATGTTAAAGATACTATATGATGCAACAAGGAAACTGGAGCTGAGAATTAATACATTGTATCAACGTAGTTGTGCTTGACAGGCAATATAGAATACACAAATTGTGAAAAAATGTGTAATCTGATAGTATATTTAATAATGATGGGAGAATGAATGAAAAAAAGTAAAGATGGTACAAATGCTGGTAGGAAAGTAGAAGGAAACGCATGTTCAATGATGAGAAATGAATGTTTGTTGAAAGAAGGGAAAACTGTAGTATATAAGAATGAACTTCTGCCCACTGCATTATACCAGACAGTTGGTATGCTAGAAGAAACTTTGCCTTAGCAATAGGATACTACAGATGCATTTGTGGAATAAGAAAAAAGTAGCATTGAGAAGCAATGGATAGTGAATAAATGTGGAGTGAATACAATAAATGACTTGTTTGAAAGATATGGTTTATTGATATGGAAGGAAGGAATAGGGTTCACTTGCTCTTAAACTATGTGAAAGAATAGTGGTTAAGAGGAAGAGAAGACTAAAGAAATCATGGTTGGATGGAACTGATAAGATCACAAAGAGAGATAACAAGCCTAAAGAAGAAGCAACATATGCAGTGGTAGAAGTGAGGATGCCCCTATGTATATGACATTACAATTGGCATCTGTATAGCAACTTTCCCCAAGTGCATGTGTTGCGCCAAGATTTCCTCAGCAGCTGGATCTTTAGGAAATCTAGGAATTGGTTGAACACCAGCCAATTACAGGGCACTGTAATGTAGAAGATTTTGTTACTTAAAATAAATAGCCTGAAATGATGCACCTTGCCACAGTATCTGTGAGACAAGGTAACCATCAATCTGATGTCTTCATGGAAACCTTTTTTTTTGCCCCAACTGATTTGAATTCCTTTATAGTCCTTACTTATTTTTTTGAGTAGGTTAGAGCAAGGCTTTTCAACCTTTTCACCCATTGTACCACTTTTAGGATATGGCAATATCTGAGTACCACCAGTCGCCTAGCAAGGTGTCAAAAACTTGATGACCAAAAAAAAAAAAAAAGGAAAAAAGTGATAAAGTACAGGTAGTCTTCGACTTACAATAGTTTGCTTAGTGACTGTTCGAAGTTACAATGGCACTGAAAAAGTGCCCCCAAGCCACAGTCGAGCAAGACACCTGCCTGCCCGCCTGGTGGCGCTCTTCCTCCTGTCCGAGGTTTTCATTGTTGTGAGCAATTCTGTTGAGGATTGGCAGCGGGGGTGGGGGGTTGTTTGTTTTTTATTCCCCTCGTCTGCTGGGTAGTCGCAGCAGGTTTTGGTCACTTCGCATGACTCTGGGGACACTGTCACCGTCATAAATATGAAACAGTTGCGAAGCATCTGAATGTAAATCACAAGACCCTGGAGATGCTACAACATTCCAGCTGATCGGTGCTTCTTCTGGGCTCAGCAGAAGCGCTAGGATCAGCGCCGAGCTCCAGCTGGAGCCTGGCGCTGATCCTGGTGCTTCCGCTGAGCCCTGACAGCCCTGCAGCTCCAGCCATCTCTCGCTCAGGCTTGTGCGGTGCTGCCACCGGTTCAGCTCATTCCCCTCCCCCACTACCACTTTTCTAGGATGGTCGCATACCACCTGCCAGGTACCAATGTACCACAGGTGGTACCTGTACTACTGGTAGAAAAGCCCTGGGTTAGAGCAGTGCAAAACACAAATCTGATATGTTTATTAATCTGAATACCTCTGAGCTCCACATAAATATTCTTTGAAAATTAAAATAGAAAGTGTCTGCAGTTCAGTGCTTTAGGTGATGGTTGTGCCACCTATCCATAAAAAGAGGAAAAATAAGGTGAAGTCTGTTAATTTAAAACATTTGTATAGCTGCTCCTCTTAAAAGAACTACGGATAGCTTATAACCAGCAAATATTAGTAAATATATTAAGAGAAGTGGATGGGGGTAATGCACCCATCTTCTGGCAAATGAAGTTCAATAATTGGCAATACCTATCACAGCAACCATTTTGTGAGAGTGCCCTCATATTTTCATAATTTCAAACAAATGTTTCTACTTTTGTTCCATAAGATTCACTTACCAGGACTCTTTCAGAATTATTCATAGGGAAACAATAACAATTCTAAATTCCATCATATTCTGTCACTAGACAAAGCTAATCTATATAACTTTGCTTTCTTCTCCCGTTCTGCTTGTTCCTAGGTTGTCAAGTATATGATTTTGGAGACTTACGTTTCACCCCAGTGCCCAATGATGAACTGTACAATAACCTGGTTAAGTACCCACGCTCTGTAGGATTAGCTAACCAACTTCTGGCTGATGCTGTGAATGGAGCTGTGACAGCTGGGCATAGTTGCATAACCATTGGAGGTGATCATAGGTGAGTTAGGAAAAGTGAAACTACCATATGACTTTTATATAAAGACCATCAAAGTAAATGTTTCTTTACCTGTTTCTTTGCTTGAAAGAGAGTAACATGAACAGTATAAAAGGGTGTTGAGTCCTAAAAAATATTTTGGTTATGGCAGTTGATAAATTCCACAAATGATGGGCCTGGCAACACTAGATCTGAGAATGATTTGGGGGACTAGATGATGTTTTATCCATTTAAAGTTATACTATAGAATCTACAGCAATGGTAGATACGGTAGGTAATGCATATACTACTAGTGTACTAAACAAAAATAATCAATCCTGAATTTAAAAACTCTTTTGTAATTAGACAGGAACACTCATCTGCTTCCATTACCATATTCTCTGTGAGTCTAGAATAATCTGCTGATTAGACTGTTGTAGAAAATGTGGGAGCGTAAAGTTACATACTGTTTTCATATTTATCCCCTTAACCCCTCAATGGCAAGACATTGTGGGCAGGATCATACACACAATATGCATTTATGATATGAATTCAAGTGCAGTTATTATACATTTGGCTTCCAAACTGATTCTGTTAGCCCACATTTATCAGATATCCTAATTCTACAGATAAGGCTAATACAAATTTGAACTGTTTTCCCTTACAGTTTAGCACTTGGTTCTATCAGTGGACATGCAAGGCAGTACCCACATCTCTGTGTGATCTGGGTTGATGCCCATGCTGATATTAATACTCCACTCACAAGCCAATCAAGAAATCTCCATGGGCAGCCGGTTTCATTTCTTTTAAGAGAACTTCAGGATAAAGTAAGTTGGGATTGCATGGTAATGTCAACAAGGAATAGCACTTATTGAGCTATTAGTATTTTTTTTATTGGAAGTAAACTTTAGATATCAGACAGATGACATATTTATTACTAGTTCATATGGGCATATATCCTGAACATTGAAGAGTGGTGTTCTTTAGGATATAGTATTGGGCGCATAATTCATAAAAATGCAAGTACCTCTATATTGAGTTAGTCAACATGATTTGAGATTGAGTGGTTATTGGTTTACTATATGGCAATTCTACCACCCTTTCAGGAGAATAGAAAACACATGAGCTTACATAATCCTCATTTAGTGACCACCTCATATAGCAACCATTTGCAGTTACAATAATAATGGCAAAGCAACCCTGCAACCATTTCTCACATTTATGACCTTCGCAGGGCTGTAGATGTAAAGCAGGGGTGTCAAACTGCCAGCCCGTGGGCTGGATGTGTCACGCCGAAACTGCGCCCACCCCATTGCTGGCAATGGAAAAAGTCGCAATATGTCGCATCATGTGACGTTGCAAGTTTGCACCCCTGATGTAAAGCAAAGGTAAACTGAAGTGAGATTATAAGCATAGTCACATTTTTACTTAGTGACCTCTTTGCTTAACAGACCCAATTGTAGTTGCTAAATGAGGATTACTGTATTATTTTTTTCTACCTGTTAGGAATAGTCTGTTACTTGATGAATTGTAGCTGAAAGTTGATGGCTATACCTGCTGGTATTCCTGCAGTTTCCTTTCCAAAGGAATGACCAAGCATGGATGTGTTTTCTATACAATAGGTCTCTACCTTGCAAGTCCCCCCCCCCCCGTAATAAGATAAATCCTAATTGCCCCTAGGGCAGGGGTAAAAGTAACTTGGGTTCAGCTTTTTTTTTTTAACTCTCATTAATCCTAGTCAGCTTGGCAATGAACTGATTTTGAACAGCACATGCTCAGTAATCTGAATACACAATTATAAACGGGCACAGCAGGATCTGATCTTTTCATCAAAGCAATAAAATTTCCAGTTGTTCTGTACATGAGTGCAATGACATGTGTACAAAAGAGGCACACTTTGCATTGCAAAAGTGCAACTCTGTTTCTACATCTACATTCCTTTTCTCACCTCTCGGTGGAGCCCTCCAGCCATCAAAGCGGTTCATAATATAGTTCATTTAGTGACCGTTTGAAGTTACTGAGGCACTGAAGAAAGCGACTTATGACCATTTTTCACACATAGGACCGTTGCCGCATCCCCAGGGTCACATGAACAAAATTCAGATGCTTGGCAACTGATTCAGACGGTTGCAGTTTCCCAGGGTCATGTGATCACCTTTTGTGATCTTCTGACAAGCACATTTCACTGGGGAAGCCGATTCATTTAACAACTGTGTTACTAACTTAACAACTGCAGTGACTCACTTCACAACGGTGTCAAGAAACATCGTAAAATGGGGCAAAATTCAATTGTCTCGTTTAGCAACAGAAATTAGGGGCTCAGTTGTGGTCCTAAGTCGAGGACTACCTGTATGTATTTCAGTTTTAGCATGTTTTCAAAAATCCGTGTTTTGGATCCCAGGAAATTTTATGTAAGGAACTAAGCGAGACCTAATCACCTTCTTTTATTGGGAATGCTGATATCCTTTCGGCTTGGACTGGGGGAAAAAAATAAAGTATCTTTAGTCTAGTACAATTTATTCCTGTGGAAGAAAAACTGTTACATATCTGCAGCAATGTCATCTAAAACAAGATTTCTATAACAGGATATTGGGGGGCGGGGGGGAGTCTATACTAAATCATATTGAGTTGGCAAGGTCAAAATAATATTTCCTAGACCAGTCTTTTCAGGATCATGTTTTTCTGTTATTTCAAAGGTGCCAGTGCTTCCTGGATTTTCCTGGCTGAAGCCCTGTCTTTCACAATCAGATATTATATATATTGGTCTGAGAGACGTTGATCCTGCTGAACAGTAAGTACCTGATAGCTAGTTTAAATTATTTAAATTAATTTAAATCAATTTATTATTTAAATTATTCCCTGCCTCCCAATTTGTAGCAGGATTATTGTTATATTTCAGACTGTAAGGGTATTTAACTTTTAACCTTCTTTTCTCAAAACAGTTATATTCTGAAGAATTATGGCATTCAGTATTTTTCAATGAGACATATTGATGATCTTGGAATCCAGAAAGTGATGGAAAAAACGTTTGACCATCTTTTGGGAAGGTAACAGGAATATTTGTTAGGCAATTAAATAATCCAGAAACCTGGTCATTGGCAACCATTAGCCAATTCCTACTGATTACTAGGATAAGTGACCTACTGCAGATGAACTGTATTTAGTAAACAATAATATTGTTTTGTCAGAGGGCCAAGACCAATCCATCTGAGCTTCGACATTGATGCCTTTGATCCATCACTGGCTGCAGCAACAGGGACACCTGTCTTGGGTGGATTAACATATCGTGAAGGCATGTACATTTCTGAGGAAATACACAACACAGGTAAAAACCACTTAAGCATATATTTTTTTAAAAAATGGGTTAATGTAACAAGAATCACAAAAATTTTAATTATATGCTTGCAGGATATCTGTACTACAAAAATATTCAGAAATGTTTAAATCAAAATGTTAACAAAATAAGTCTAATAGATGCTCGGATTCTTTTATTCTCTCTCTCTTCCAACGATTCATGAGGCATCCTGAAGACAATAGCAGTGTTTTTTGAGCTTTCAGATGGCACCTAATTTAGTTTTACTAGTTAGTAAAACAAAACAACACTACAAGCTATGCTGCCAAATTTTAGCATAAACTATGTGGAAACATAACCTTGTTTAGAGAAGTTAATGTTCCCAGTTCATCTTCCAGTTGTTAACATTACACCCTTTTGTTTTCTGTGTATTTGTATTATAGCTTCTCCAACCCTCTTCTTGACTCAGTTGGATTAGAATTAGAATCAGGGAGTTTTAAAGGCATATCATACTTTAAATATTTAACCATTCACTTGCCCTTGGCAACAAGAAAGCATAGAAAAAAAACCATTGGAAATTATTGTTGCTTTGGATAAAAGTAGGATTGAAGTATGATGTAACATGTAATGAGACAGATCTGTTATTTGGCTGAAGAGATTTTAAAAAAATATATATTGCAAATTTCTGTCTTTTGCTCCAAAGTAACTCTCTGCTTTCACTTTCTCAGGCCTGCTTTCAGCTATGGACCTTGTAGAAGTAAATCCATTCCTTGGAACTTCACAGGAAGAAGTGAATGCAACAGCCAGTTTGGCAGTAGATGTGATTGCTACAAGCTTTGGGCAGACGAGAGAAGGAGCACACGTTGTTTTTGAGAACCTGCCAACACCTAGTTCTCCAGATGAATCAGAAAATGAAGAGCAAGTCCGGCTTTAGGTCTCCCAAGTGGCAGCAGATGCCACACAAAGGGCATTATGTATAGTACTGCTGGTCTACTAAACAAGTGGACGGAACAGAAATCAAGTGTACTACATTCTGAAGTCTTCACTCAGCTTTGGAGTTTTTTTTTCTTAGTTGGGAAGTCAAACTGTGCCACAAATTAATATCTTCAGTATATATGACTATCGTGTTATATTGCAGATGTAGTTCATCTCCTCCCAGTAGCACTGCACCCTTCTCAGAAGGACATGTCAAGACTGACAACAAGCCAGCACTGTATTTTAAATGCAGTAAATACCACCCATCTTTTCAATCTATGTCACAGTTATTGCCCAGGAATGTCCATATAGTGGATTGAAGACAGCAAAGCAGAAAAACTGCATTTCTTCGAGGCTTAGGTGAAGAACTTATAGTAGACAAGACCTCCCAGGATAATTACCTCCAGGATGATGATGACAGAGAGTAACAATTTATTTGTCATAAGCCTAGAAAGAAAGAGACATGGACTTTGTTGTTGTTTTTTAAACTGCAAGTCGTTACCATTTATGGAATTACGGTGATTATAGAAACCATCCAATTTCATTTTTAGTAAAGCAAACCCTTTGCATGCTTACTCAAAAGCAAGTCTCTTTATGTATTGCTGATTTAAGGGAAATCCTAGGTAAATAGGCATAGGGATTCAGCCACCATGGAAAAACTTAATGCTGTAGAAGGAGAGTACCAACTATTTAATTTCATTTAAAACATTATGGTTCTTGAGATACCTTATAAAACATTAAAATACTCTTGCTAGACATTATAGAGCCTCACTGTAGGGGTATGAAAAAACATAAAAGAATAGAGGTAAAACAAATATACTTCACTCCTAAATGAAGAGATATAGTTGTAATAATTCCAATTTTTGGTAAATGGGAGAGCACAAAGAGCTGAAAATCTGATGATAATTAATGGCTTGAATATTGTTTTTAGTAGTTCCTTTTATATAGCAAGTTCTTTCAATAAATAATAAACCTTATTGAATGGAAGCCCTGGGGTTGTTGTTGTTTTTGCTAGCATGCTAAAAACTGCTGCTGTGGACGTGTATGTGGACATGAGGGAACCACAATAAGGGTCCTTTGGGATCTGACTGCTCAGACTTCTTTCTATGGGGCCTTAGTCTCAGAGAGTGGCCAGTATTTGCAACTATGCCTATTGAAGAGCTTTAAAGAACAATCCAGCCTTATGTGTCCAGTTAGTCACCTGACAAGATGTAGAAATTAGACGTTACACAGCATTTTATATAGTACAAGTAATCCTCAACTTACGGCCACAATTGAGCCCAAAATTTCTGTTGCTAAGAGACACTTGTTAAGTGAGTTTTGCCTCATTTTATGACTTTTCTTGCCACGGCTGTTAAGTGAATCACTCCAATTATTAACACAAGTTGCTAAGTGAATGTGGTTTCCCCCATTGACTTTGCCTGTCAGGTTACAAAAGGTGATCACATGACCCCAGGACACTGCAACTATCATAAATATGAGTCAGTTGCCAAGTGTGAATTTTAATCATGTGAACATGGGGGTGCTGCAATGGTCCTAAGTATGAAGAACAGTCATAAGTCACTTTTTTCTGTACCACTGTAACTTTGAACGGTCACTAATTAAATATAAGCTAAGGACTACCTGTATTTATATAGCTTATTTTCTGTTGATTCTTCCATTCTGAGAGGTGAGAGGCATCTTAAATTTAGGGGCATATCCTAAATATTATATTCTTGTTTTGAGAGGGAGGGGGAGAAGTAAATCAACCTACAGTATCCACTTAAAGAATACTATAGCTAGAGAAATATTTATGTTCATGTTAGGATCATCTATCATATTCCTTTAGCTCTGGCAATCAGTTCCTGTATAATATGGGGCAGGCCATAGCGCTGCATACAAAAGGAGGAACTGGCAAAAAAAGTGTCCCTTCTCTCACTTTAGCAAAAGCTAAATTACCAGATCTAAACTGAAAAAATCCAGGTGACCCATAGATAGAAACAAAGAGATACATTTTTGCTGCTTTCTACTCATTGTCCAGTGATTTGCAACCTAGATGTGGTAGCCTCAGCAAAGCTTGGTTTGGATTTGTTCAGCAAGCAACTAATGCTCGCTCACTGTTGGACTTTGCATTTATGCACAAATGCCTAAAGGTGCACCAATCATACAAATTAAGTCTGTGCCCTAACTTACTTGCTAATTCCTAACTAAATGGGCCTACAAATTGGTGAACTTTATCCCTGAACATTGCCACCTTTCCCACATCTATATGAAAATAAAAGCCATTCCTCCATATGGACATCGGAGATAGGCCAAGCCTACACTGAAGGAATAAGCTTCGCAAAAATCCCAAACATACAAAACATTTTAAAGCATTATTTCACCAACCTTCTCGACATGGAACGTAGGATCTTCCGACTTCTGCTTAAATTTTCATTTGTGTTTACTAACTGTAAAGGGAAAAAAAAACATGAATCCCCACCTGCTTGACAAGGGATTAGGGTGCTACTTTTGACAGTTGGAAAGCATCATCTGTTAAACACAATGTTCAAATTAGATCAAACCAAACTTAGAGAAGGATATTTGGCCTCTGTTTTAAGGTGACGATTGGAACACATCCAGTCAGCTCAACTCCATAACATTCTGTAACAATTAAAAGAAGCATGATGCACCCCAACTTATGTATTTCTGTATTTTTTTTCTTTTATACTAATAGACTGAATTATGTTTCTGATAACAAAGCCAAATAACACACTATCCAAGGTAAATTCTTGGTCTTTTCCTGAAGGGAAAAATATTGATAGTGAATCGCAAAGATATCAGGTAAACAAGCAGCAGCATTTTGGGGCTGGTTAAGATTCCATCTTCTGCATCAGAGCAGAGACCATGAGTAAGTTTCATTATTGGACGTGGACTATGTATTAATCCATTTATCTAGTTCCTGAGATTTCAGCAGTTTATGAAAAGATAAGCGTTATCTTTAAAATAAATTAAAGAATATATCTAAGGAAGATCAAAGCCAACCTCAATAAAACAGTATTTGATTCCAGAGGTTTAGAAAAAGTAGACCTGTTTTTCTGCCAGAATAAGAAAAAGTGGATTTTTAAAATAACTATAATGTTACATTAAATAGTTGTATAAGCTAAAGTTTGCTCTTTTAATGCAGTTTCTACTCTGCGCTATGAAAGAGCAAAGCCCCATGGAGAAGTGATATGGGGAGAGAGCAGTGCTGGGAGAGTAGAAATATATATTGCGTTCATAAGACTTATCTATTGATAAGAGAGGAAAAACAGACTGTTCTATTCCAGTGGCATTTTGAAAACTTACTCTGCCTTTGGTGCGTTCCAGCTGCTCACGCTGCCCACCTAGTTCTTCAATGATGTCACTACCAATTTGATCAGTTTCTGCAGCAATTTGGTGTGTCCGGTCCAAGCTCTGAGTGGCTCGATTCAAGCTTTCTGTTCCCTGAAGCAGTAACACCCTCTGAGACTGCATCTGAGTCTAAGAGACAATTAAGACCTATTTAAAAAGGCAGAAGGGATATTTTTACCTTTCAGTATGTTCTTCTCTGAGTGTGGAGATTTAAGTCATGCTAGCAATGTAAAAGGAGAATAAGAGGAGTTTCCTAATGCTGAGGGAAACAGCCTATTCAATGATGGTAAACCTTTTAGAGACTGAGTGCCCAAACTGCAACCCAAAACCCACTTATGCATAGTTGAGTGCTGGGTGGGTGTGGCCCATTGGGTGGGTGTGGCCCATTGGGTGGGCGTCGCTGCGGTGGGAACGGCAGACTGAGTGGGACTAAAAAATTCAATCAATCAATTCCAACTTTGCAAGATCTTTTTTTTTCCATGAGAAATTGAAATTGATTGATTGAACCTTTTTTTTTTTTTGCACATGGCAGCAGAGGCCTAAAGTGAAAAGGTTTTATAAAACCCAGCTGAAGGCCTAGGACTGGGGCGACAGCGCGCGTGCCCACAGTGAGGGCTCTGAATGTCGCTTCTGGCACCCGTGCCATAGGTTTACCACCACTGGTCTATTCTTTTAAGAAAATGTTGGTGAAGACATTGAGATGATCCCATCTTCTTGTCCAAACTATCTTTGATGACACCAAGGTTTTTAATTTGATTCTGCAATCAAAAAATGTCCCTTATAGTACAGCAGAAACTATACACACAACTTATTCCTACCCCCCAATTGATTCAAGCAAATGCTATCAACATTTTCTTGGAGTATTTACAATCAGTTTCTCCCCCCCCCCTCCTTTCAATGTAGACCATTCAGCTATTTTCTTAGGTCAGCGGCCCCCAGCCTTTTGGGCACCAGGGACCAGTTCTGTGGAGAGAGGTTTTTCCATGTGGGGGTGGGGGTGTGGTTTTGTGTGCTGCCTTCATCCTGCAGATGGGGTTTCGCTTGTGTATGATGACCCAGGGCACAGCACAGAGGCAATGCAGTCAGCTAGCAATTCAAACAGTCCTTTAATTGCTCCAAATTTTCCCCCAAATGCTCCCACGTTTCTGGCAAGCCTCCAACAAAAGAAACACACATCCCTTCAGCTGACTCTGGCTGCAAGTAGTTTCACATACAGTCTGATTAGAAGCGGAATGTACTCAAGGCCACAGAGATAACAAGGAATAACACATAAATCATAAACCTAATGAGTCTGTGTGAATAAAGGCTTGCTTGAGCAGTTTCAAAAGAGAATCCAAAATACAGTCCGAGGTCTTTAAACATTCAAGCAACGTTGTCAGTCAGTCCAATAGTCAGAGTTACCAGGTTTCCAAGCCGAAGTCACAGAACAAGAGATCAGCAACACACAAAACTCCAAGGAATCAGCGTTTGTTCCTGACAAATGCCCCTCCCCATGGTGTCTCCTTAAATCTCAGTCTCCAGGTGTGCCTTGCAGAGAGTAGTTGAGCCTGCCTGTGTTGTTCCCTCCTTCTCTCCACTCTCAGTGCTCTAGGATCAGGTGGGGGAGGCTTGTTCAGCCTGTCCCACTCCTGAAGGTAAGGTGACCAATGAGCCTGCCTGTGTTGTTCCCTCCTTCTCTCCACTCTCAGTGCTCTAGGATCAGGTGGGGGAGGCTTGTTCAGCCTGTCCCACTCCTGAAGGTAAGGTGACCAATCATCCTCCTTTAGGGAGGACAGTCCTTCTCTTGTACTCATTTAAATAATAATTAATAGGCATGTAAGCATAATTACAATATAAAATGTTATTGTTACAAATGTTTTTTATTATGCATTTATCATATTATAGTGTATTCTGTATTGTTGCAATGAATAAAATGTTTTATTTACAATATTATTTTCTTCAATTTATTTGTGTCCTCCTTCTTATTGTAAAAAAGTTGGTCACCTTACTGAAGGGCCCTGGCCTGCCTTGGCCTGCTCTTCCCCACATTCCTCTGAAGCCACAGACACCTCTCCCTCGACCTTCATAGGGTTCTGTTCCAGCTCATTTTCCTCCTCAGATTCAGGCTCTGAGGGAGGCATGACAGCTTGTTTGTTCAGCCCAGTTTCTGGCATGCCATGAACCAGTGCCGGTCCAGGGACCAGAGGCTGGGAACCCCTGTCTTAGGGACAAAGAACTAAACTGATTCAATCAGATATTATTAGTGTGGTGGACCTAGACTACAGGTCGGCAACCTGCTGCTCCGGAGCCGCATGCGGCTCTTTGAGCTTTCCCCTGTGGCTCCCAGCCTCCTCTGCCATTTGCAGAGAGAGACAGAGACAGAGAGAGGCTTCTCTCTCTCTCTGTGTGTGTGTGTGTGTGTGTGTGTGTGTGTAAAACAAAGTGGACTCACGCTGTTCTCCGACAAGCTGAAAAGCTTTTTGGGCGGGGCTCCTCCCTTTGCTGCGTCTCTGCAGGAAACAGGAAGGGCAGGAGAGAGCTAGCTAGCCCAGCTATGCTGACTCAGGAATTCTGGGAGTTGAAGTCCATAAGTCATAAAAGAGCTGACGTTGCCTACCCCTGAGCTTGTTGGAGAACAGCTTGAAGCCAGCTTGCCAGGTAAGCAGAAGATTGGAGAGGGGGGGAGAGAAAGAGAGAGGGGGGGGGAAGAGGACTGGCAGACCAAGGGCAGAAAGAGAGGGAGGGAGGGAGGGGGAGAGAGAGGGAGGGGGAGAGAGAGACCCTTTTGACATCTAAAATGAAGATAACACTGCATATATCCTTTTTTACCTTTATATGTGTGTGTGTGTGTACATATATACATACACACACACACACACACACACACACGGCTTTTTTTCTTATAGAACAGCCAGAATGGAGTTCCGGCACCTTTTTTGGATGGAACCTTGTAGGGTAGGCAAGGCGGGTTGTATGATGTGTGTGAGTTTTTTTTTTTTTTTAGAAAAAAAGCACTGTGTGTGTGTGTGTGTGTGTGTGTGTGTGTGTGTGTGTGTATTCAGATATTTTTGCTGACAAGAGTTAAAGATTTAAGTGGGAGACTAGTATAGCAATTTCGGATTCATTTATCCTCAAAATGCCAAGGTGTAATCAATCAGACCGGTCTGTCTGAAAAACTTTCTATACACACACACACAGACACACACACACACACACACACATACTGTATAAGGTAAAAAAGGATATATGCAGTGTTATCTTCATTTTAGATATCAAAAGGGTTTTGCGGCTCCCAGTATTTTGTTTTCGGTGGGAAACGGGTCCAAGTGGCTCTTTGATTGTTTTGGGTTGCCTACCCCTGACCTAGACACTATAAAGTTTAAATGACATCAAACCTAGTAATCTGAATAGTGAAGAATTATATAAACTGCTTGCAGTAAAATTCAAATAGCACAGAGCGTATTAAAAATGAAATTGTTTTCAATATACTACATATTTAACAGCAATCTTCAAGATGTGTGGCTAGTTCATTAGACATGACAAAACCTAACGTGCTGTGCTTACTACTCACTTCGCTTGAAAGGGAAAAAGAAAATGTTTATGTAATCATTTTAGTGGATGCTCTAATTTTTTAAAAATCCCTAAATTAACGTTTTTAAAAAACCAAGGCTGCTTGGTGTAATAATTACTGGATCAGAAACAGGGAAAATGCTGGTCCTCCCTTAGGCAATCCAGTGGCTTTGGGTCAGTCACTTTCTCTCCAATCAGTGCATCTTACAGGTTTGTTATTATGGGAAAATAAGAAAATAAGAGGAAGGAGCATCATTCATTACAAGACATCTTGAGTTGTACAAAATAAAAGCAGGGCACAAATCAAATCAATGGAAATTAAAATACATCCCAGATTGCCTTACTGATAATCAGCATATGAAAGATGCATCTAAATGATCACTAGCAGCACTGAACAGAGAAATATCTTAATAAGCATTCCAGTGTTAATCTTATTTATTATATTCTGGTGTCTTTTATGTATTACAAGAGTTAAGCAGCTATTTTAAATACATGCCAGTTGCCAAGAATCCGAATTATGCAACCATCATGTAATCATAAGGATGCTGCTAAGTCATGAGAGTGAAAAATAAATGTAGGCCACTTTTTTAGTGCCATTGTAACTTCAAACGGTCACTAAACAAATGGTTGTAAGTTGAGGGCTACCTGTACTATCAATGATTTCTCAAATTTGGAAATGAGAACTTGTTTCCGTTTTCTCTTAATTTGCTAAATTCTCCAATGAATGCTTAAAAAGACCTTTACTATTTGCAGAATTTGGAGATCAGCAAAGGCAGGAGGGATCTTTACTACTGCCTTTACTATTCAACTAAGCTCTCACCCCCTCCATTTTCTTTCTTTTCTTTTTATTCCCTCATTTTTTCAAGAAGAAGCTAAGCTTGCTTCCAATCTATCAAGCCAGTAAGGGCACATAAACTTTTGTATTAACTGTTTTAATACTTTTGTATTTTCTAATTGTTTCATAAGTCAATTGTCTATTTTCTACAAGTCTTATTACGTCTTCACCATGAGCATAGCCTCTGCACAACTTCTTGAATAAGAACCTGAAGCATGTTGACATCAGAACAACCTTTAAAATAATTGTACACTTAATACTCACTCTCTGCTCATTTTCCGTAGAGAAGATGCCAAATTTTGAATTCCCACGTGCACTTGGAGGTACTCCCAAATCTGTACTTTTCATTTTCCTATGAAATGTGCTAAGATCTCCTTTGTAAGTTCGGATTTTAATCATCATTTGATTGCGGAAGGACACCGGGGCATATTTCAGTTCTTCTTCCATTTCCCTTAACTAGAAGATTTAAAAGTAAACATGTATAAAAATCCTTGTTACATTTGTATTTGAAACATGTAAATCAAGTCTGAAAATGATTAATTTACCAGAAACATCAGAGACCTAAATTAAAAAACCCACTCAAATTTCTTATGAATCATATTTCATTAGCCTGTGACTAAAATATAAAATACAATCTATCTAGCAATTCACTTCTTTATTTCTAAAATATGTATCCCATGTTTTTGTTTTAGAAATGTTATTCTTTGTCTGACCAAAACTGAGTTTATTTAGAAAAAGCATTCTTCCAATTTAAATACATTTCATACAATGACAATAAGAGCCAAAAATGGAGAAAACTTTAAGTATGTTCACGTTACTTATACAAAACAATGACGAAAATATGCTTCATAAAAGTTTATAAAGATACAGTTGTTTATAAAACATATGGAACTTATCTGTTTCAAAAGTAAAAAGCTACAGTGTGTAGGAAACCACCAAATACATCAGCCAAAAGGCTAGATTTCAATAATTTCCCTATCCTCTTTTTGCTATGTGAAAGCAATATTATTTTATGAAAAAAACTAACTACTTTGAAGTGGGCATAGCTAAACACAGTTTTGTTACCACTCTGATAACAAAAACAAAGACCAGACTCAAAAGAATGATATTTCACCTTGCTGCACATCAATCTTCATTGTAAATAAATACAATACAATCTTCTGTGATTATCTTTGTAGCATGTGAAAGATAAATCATTACCTTTAAACCTAATTCAGAAAAAATATCTACGATGAGTTTAAAACTTTTTTTTTTAGTAGAAAGCAGATTAATTTGTTCAAAGGGGTATTGCAAATACTGGCTTTGGCTTGTCTGGACAAATTATTAAATGGGAAAAAGAAAAAAAAGGAAATGTTTTTGAAATAAATTATTTCAATCAAGTGTTTCTCAGTCTTAGCAACCCAAGTTGAAGTCCCTATGCTAGTTGGGGAATTCTGGGATCTGAAGTCCATTCACCTTAAAGTTGCCAACGCTGAGAAACGCTAACTTCAATCAATACTAAGCACTTTATTCAGGTCCACAGTGTTTAAAGCATCGGATTAGTTCCATATAGACTAGGGTTCTAAAGCTTCTTAAAGAATAGTTCATATTCTTACCGTTTCATTTGCCTCTTTTAGTTTTTCATCAAACTCTCGCATTAACTTTTTTTTCTCCTCTACAAGATAAATTTTTAAAAACAAATTTTCACCAAAGGACAAAATATTAGCAGTACAAAAATAATTCATACACTCAATATATTCTTTATAACTGTTGTTCCTGTTTGAGTTTTTATATTAATATTTGAAGAGATTTCCTTCTCAAAAAGGTGGCAACTATGCTGCCATTTTCAGTAATTAGAGGTAGACGGTCATATGTACAGCAACAAGAGTTGCTAACTTTTTACTGGATCCCTGACTAAATGGCTTTATGACCTAAGATTTTTTTTTTATTTTGAACTCTAGGCCAACGTCTCTTGATATAAGCTCTCAAGCAGGCACAACAAAATTATAAAGAAAAACTTTCTCCCAATCATACATACATATGTATATGTGTGTGTATATCTAAAAAAAATGGGCCACTCATTTTAAATCATTGACTCATTTTTCCTGTCATTTTTATTCAAATGTGTTTCCAGAATTGTCATCTCTAGTTCTGTGAATGAGTAGAGCCCATGCAAAATGGCTGTTTTTGTGCCTTATTAGATAATGGGCTATATTTAAAGATATTGCTTTGCTGAGGGAACAATATAGGTCCAAAGCAATGATTTTTTTTTCTTCACACATATCCTGAATCTGTTCTGGAGGGTATATGCAAGGTAATACCTGTTATATTAACCTAATTGGTTCATGTAACTCTGCAAACCACAGATTTAGTTCATCCACACCATTCATGTCCTTTTATTGTCAGCTTTACTTTCAACACTTTACACAGCATTCTTCTTGCCCAACAAAATTGCCTGCTAAATGAAGGGCCCTAAAAAAACCTGACCATGTATCACGTAACCCAATCTTATCATGTACTCCAATCAGGACTGAATAAATTATTTGTAAAGTATTGTTTTAATTCATGCAGCATTTGTCCTTATGACATTTAGTATACTGAGTTTCTTCCTTATATGTAAGCTGGCCAGAGTCAAAACTGGACAAATAAGCACAATAGTATGTAACATCTGCCAAAAAATAAAAGCAAATGTTATTCTAAGGCTGCATTAATCAAGGTATTGGGAAAGGTCAAAAGAAGTTAGCATTCCTCTCTGCTCTGCATTGGTTGCACTGCACTCCATTTTGGAAAGTATACTGAAATTTGAAATTATACAGAAGTCAGAGACCAAGATGACAAGGAACCTGAAAGGAAAAATAGTTGGAGGTGTTGGCTTGGAGAAGACTCTGGGACGATGCACTAGCTATTTTCAAGTATCTGCAGGGTTGTCATGTAAATGTTAGAGCATTGTTCTGTCTCATTTCAGGAGACAGAACAAGAAACAATGGGTTTAAACGACATTAAAATTCATTGGGATACTGAATATTGGGGCATTTGGGCAAATAAGAAATGGTAAATGATGGAACAGACTACCTGAGGAGGTGCAGAATTTCTTTCACTAGAGGCGTTTTTAAGCTGAGACTGGATGAACATGTCTCTAGGATACTCAGCTTGTAGATTTATGCATTGCACAAGGGTGGACTTCAAGTCTTATATTATGTGAGCTGACAAAAGTACAGGTAGTCCACGACTTATGACCACAACTGAACCCATAATTTATGTTGTTGCTAAGTGAGAAAGTTAAGTGAGTTTTGCCCCATTTTATGACTTTTCTTGCCAAATCTGTTAAATGAATCACTGCAGTTGCTAAATTAGTAACAACTGTTAACTGAATCTGGCTTCCCCATTGACTTTGCTTTTCAGAAGGTCACAAAAGATGATCACACGAACCCAGGACACTGCAACTGTCATAAATATGAACCAGCTGCCAAGCTTCCGAATGTAAATCACGTGACCATGCGGATAATGCAAAGGTTGTTAAGTATGAAAAATGGTGGCAAGTCACTTTTCCCAGTGCCACTGTAACTTCGAACAGTCACTAAATGAGCTGTTGTAAGTCGAGGACTACCTATATAACATGTATAACTCTACATTGTCTATTTGTCCGCGGCATCGCACGGAGAGGCCGAAGCCAGACCCGGGAACAGGTTCTCGCCCCGTCGCAGGACTAGAGCGCTGCCTTCTCACATACCAACCGCCAGGCTCCCGCGCAGCTTCTCCGGGGCGCTTTGCAACTTCTCATGGAGGCCGCGAAAAATCTCGTGCAGCCGCTCCAGATGCTCCGAGGAGAGGACGCCGCGGTCCGCCATCCCACGAAAGTCGGGAGCGAGCAGCTTTTTTTCCTTCCGACGCCTCACCGGACTGACTACCGCCTAGAAACCATCTTCCACCGACATTTCCGGGATAACGGGCGGAGCTTAGGCCACATCCTCGCCCTCTTTCCTCGCAGACCGCCCCGCCAGGGTGACTAAAACAATGCCTGGTACTAGTGCCGTCAATCGCGTCGCCCTCGTTCCGGCGGAGAAACAGTCACTTCTCTGAGAGTGGTGGTAGTGACGGGGGCGACAATGTGTGTGTTTGTTTCTCCCACAAAGAATTTGGCCTCCAATTGATCAGGGAGATTCGGGCAATAACGTTGTCTCCTTAGAGTTAGGTCCCTTCTGACATCAATATGAGAAGTGGTTGGCATCTGTTCTCCTATTCAGCTGCTACCCTCGTCCAACCTTCTTTGACTTTTCAAGATTAGTCATGGGTCAGAGAGGTCAGCTGGAATGATGCAAAAAATCTATGCTCATTTAACTGAAAGTACTTGAGTCCTTATTGTGCTCATTTGTTCAGTTTTGATTATGGCCAGCTTACATATAAGAAAGAAACTCAGTATACTAAATGTCATAAGGATAAATGCTGCACGAATTAAAACACTACTTTGCAAATAATTTATTCAGTCCTGATTGGAGTACATGATAAGATTGGGTTACATGATATATGGTCAGGTTTTTTTAGGACCCTTCATTTAGCAGGCAATTTTGTTGGGCAAGAAGAATGCTGTGTAAAGTGTTGAAAGTAAAGCTGGTGTGAATGAACTAAATCTGTGGGTTGCAGAGTTACATGAACCAATTAGATTAATATAACAGGTATTACCTTGCATGTACCCTCCAGAACAGATTCAGGATATGTATGAAGAATGGAAGGAACTATACTTAGAAAAGAAGTGAACAGATGGGGGAGGAATAGCCATTTAGCTTGCAAGCCAAGCATCTAAATTTAGAATACAATAGAAGAGAGCTGGAAGGGACCTTGGAGGTCTTCTAGTCCAGTCCCCTGCTCAAGCAGGAGAACCTATACCATCTCAGACAAGTGACTGTCTAGTCTCTTCTTAAATATCTCCAGTGATGAAGCATCCACTGGTTAATTGTCCTCACTGTTAGGAAGTTTCTCCTTAATTCCAGGTTGCTTCTCTCTTTTATCAGTTTCCAACCATTGTTTCTTGTCCTGCCCTCTGGTGCTTTGGTGAATAATGTGACCCCTTCTTCTTTGTGGCAGCTCCTCAAATGCTGGAATACTGCTATCATGTCTCCTCTATTTCTTCTTAGTGGGAAAGAATCTAGTGCTGCATTACACATCAAGCTAAGATACATTTGTTTGCCTGTGGCTTAGCATATGACATTGTGATTGGTAAATAATGATTTATAGATTAGCATGTTGTATGAACCCAGCCAATTTTAATTAATAAAACCACAACTAAATATATATTCATGCATTATGCCAAAATACAATGTAAAACCAGCAGATTTGGACAAGATGCTTGTGCCTTTGAAGAATAACCAAGTACACAAGAGGAATCTTGTTATAAGGTTTATATTGTCACTTACAGTATAACTTGGCAACCTAAAGAGTATAGACCAGGATAAACAAATAGCAAAACAGAGATTGAAGGCCTTTAGGTCCCTCTATGTGTTTTGAATTCAGCGATGGATCATAATACTTCTGCCAAATTTAGAATACTGGAAGTCAAGAAATACCTACTTGAGAGGGGGGAGGGGGTCAGTGAGAGTCAGTGCTTCATCCCCAAGCAATGGCAGCTGCTACAGAAAGAAAAAGTCTCTTACTTACACAACAGAGAAAAAAATAAACTGCAGATTATATGTATCTATTGTGCCAGGGCCCATCGGAGCCCGAGTCTGAGGAGGAGGAGATGGTGCAGTGGGATGGTGCAGTCTCTATGGCTCAGGAGGAACGACCTGTGAATGAGGACGAGGCAGTCCCGGGCCCATTGGGCCTCCGAAGAGTAGGCAGGGAGGAAAAGAGGGCTCAGGCTGATCAAGGAAATGCAGAGGAGCTCCGGAGAAGAGCAAATGCCTCTCCCACCTAGTTCCTGAGTGGGAAGAATGGAAAGAAATCAGAGTCAGTGCAGGGCACCCCAACTATTCAGGAGGAGGGCACCCCGCACCTCCTCATGAGGTTCACCTGAAGAGTAACATTTAAGGAGATGCCGTGAAGAGGGGCTTTTGCTAGGAACAAGTGTTTATTTTCAGATACACTCCCTCAGCTGTGCCTGCTTTCGCCTTGCTTTAAGAACTACTTTTGTCGGCATCAAAGACTGCTTTTTGCTTTGCTTCAAGAACTGCTTTTGCTCTGTGAGTCAGACTGTTTTTGCCTTGCTGTGAGGACCGTTCTTGGCTTGCCCTAGCCCTGAAGATTCTCCCTTCTGTTTGGAAAATGGCTCAAAATCCCAAAAACAAACAAACTCACTTGGAATTCCAGTAACAAAAGTTTTATTTGTAAAGAAGTGTTTGCAAAGGCTTGGTGAACTGAAACACAAACAGGAGTTCAGTCACACCTTAAAGAGCAGTTTGACACATTTTTATATCTTGTCCCCGACACAGGTCCCCTCCTGTGGGGAAAAAATGCACGCGCAGCAAACTGCCATGCTTTCCCCCCCACAAACCTCATAACCTTTTGATACCCTTTATCCCAATGAAGCAGCCAGAAGGTCATCCCCTTTTGACTTAATGCCTCACCTATCTAAATTGATAATATGCTTAAGTTACTTCCTATCTCTTCCTGCCTTTGTCAGTTCTTTCTCCTTTTGATCTACTGTATTTGTTCTTTACCTGGTCTTTGATCAGGTAATGTGTTACTAGAAAATAGTTGCTTATATGAAGGAATTTTCCAATGAAGAAACTTTATGTCAGCATCTAATGGTTAAACTTATGAATGTAAAATGTCAGCATTTAATGGTAAAGCCTATGTATGTAACAAGTATATAAGAAGCAATAAACTCAGAGTTTGTCAAGCTGTGTCCTGCAGCTTCAAACCTCTGCTCAAGACATGCCTGTGTCTTTTTCTTAGCATCTTACATCTGGCGCCCAAACAGGGACAGCCCCCACTTCCGAGGGAGCAATAGCTAACTTACTTACCAGCGTCTGGAATAGACCCCTAAGTGCACTTTTGTCCTACGGGACCCCTCAGTGGTAAGTAAGGGTTGCAATCTATCTCAGCACCAGCAGAAACATGTACAGGAACTCAGATTCCTGTTACACAAATCAGGCGTGAAAGCGCCTGAGGCAGACATAAGGAAGCTGGTGGATGAGGTAGGGAAACATTCCCCTTGATATCCTAAGCGCTGGATGCTTAGGTTATGAGATTGGGAAAAGATAGGGCATACTTTACAACTTGAATCTTGGGCTCCACTACAGGTATTACATCAATGGCATCAGTGCCATCAAGCAGTGGAAAAATTTGGCTCAGATGCTTCAGCAGGGCAACAATTAACTACAAGCCCCACACCTGATTAGGATCAAGTAAAAACTGTGCCTCCGAAAGCATCTTTAATTGGATTTTCAGCTCCTTCTGAAGAGGCTAATTCTTTTGCCTCCTTACGGCCATCATACACCCCCGTAAGGAAAATATTAGAGGAACAATCTTGAAGTAGAAAAAATATATATGGGGAATCGTCAGAGGAATTTAAAGAAACAAATTAAATCAAAATGTACTCCTCTGCAATGTTTTGAACAATTGGAATGTTTTGAAATTTCATGTGGCTGTTAAGTTTAACCCTGTCAGACAATGTCTGGTAGTGATTTGTGTTGATGTGTAGCATGTTTTGTTTTATGTGTGTGTGTGTGTGTGTGTGTGTGTGTGTGTGTGTGTAGGACTTTGGTTATTCGGGTTTTCTCCCACGTCAAATTGGAAGTGTCTTGGCGACGTTTCGATGAAGTCTCATTTGTTATCTTCAGGCTCTTCAATTATCCTTGTTTGTGGAGGTGAAGACGGTCTTGTCTTTAAAATAGAGTGATAAAAATCTCTTGCCTTTGAAACTAATTAATCTATAACGTATTCCATCATAATTCACTACTATTCCTCTTGGAATCTCCCATCTAAACTGAATTTGACGTTTTAACTCATCAGACAGAAAGGTAAAATCTTTTCTACCTCTTAAGACTTTTGGAGGTATTTCTTTTAAAATTATCACATCTTGAGCTGCAATTTGAAACCTCTGTTTATAAAAAGCCTGTATAATTTCATTGCGAATAGATCTTCTGGAAAAGTAAATAACCACATCTCTTGGTAAGTTTCTCTGTCTGGCAACCCGTGAGTTAACTCTGAAGATTTTTTCTATCTCATTCCCAACTACTTCTGGTCTCCATCCAAGGTTAAAAGCAATATCTTTAACAATAAGCATCTTTAAATCTTCCTGGGAATTTTCTTTCAGTCCCCTGATACGCAATGCAAACTCCATATTGCAAACTATATTGTGAGATAGTTTGTTCATCCTGTGTAATTTCTATCTTATTCTCCACTTCCTCCATTCTAAATTCCAGTCTTGCTGGATTTTCAGTAATCTCCTCCATTTTATCATCAATCCTTTTAATATGCAGAGCAAGACCTTGAAACGCAAATAGTATATCATCTCTGACCTGCTTATTTTTTTTCTAGTTCTTCTGTAATAGCCCTCTCTGCAATTATAAGATCTTTTACCTCCTCTTTAATATCCAAAGCATTTATTTTTAAAGCCTCTTGTAAGTCTTTTAAGAGAAATTGCAGGAGGAGGGGAGGGTGGGGGTGATTTTGGTTTAGACTGAGAAGCAGGTTGAATCATTGGGGAGGAGATAGAAGCTTTAGGGACAGAGACCACACGTTTTGAAGCCATTCTGTTAAATTCAAAGGAGCAAAATTCTTGCCTCTATAACAGTGGTTCTCAACCTTTCTAATGCCGTGACCCCATAATACAGTTCCCCATGTTGTGGTGACCCCCAAGTGGGTGTGGCCACCAAAAAGAGGGAGTAGGACAGCTAGGGAAAAGAAAAAAAATGGTGGACAGCGTGGTTTGGCGACCCCCGTGAAATGGTCATTCGACCCCAAATGGGGTCCCGACCCACAGGTTGAGAACCACTGCTCTATAATATCACAGTTCTTTAAA